CACCCCACCCACAAAGACATTCAACAGGAACAGAGTGCGAGAGAGAGGTCATGCTTTAAAAGACACAGAAATCACAAAGAAGGAGGCCAAATGCCTTCGCGATTGCAATAAAAAATATGAAATTCTTTTTACAGGGTAAACGTTGTAATATAAAAAGTTTAATGCTGTCTGGAAACGGAGTTTGATTTACAAAAATGTCCGTATAGGCCAAACATGGCTGATGCTACATAAGACTAAGTGCCGCGGGGGTGGCTTCGGACCGTGTGTGTGTGTGTGCGTGCGTGCTCCTCCCCATGTGCCCCTGCGTGGCCACGAGCCCTCGGAGGCACACGCCCTGCCCCCGGGACGGATGCATACTGTGTTACGGCAGAGCCAGGGGGCTCCACGGGGAAGGGGGAGGGCGGGTCTTGACTCTGGCTCTCGGATCCCCTCACTTCCTTTTCCCACCCTGATCCTTGTGGACCGGGGGGGGGGGGGAGCAGGTGGTCCCAGCCAGCTCCAGGCAGCCCAGTGGCTTTTGGTCACGCTCGCTGGGGGCTGCAGTCGTCGTGGAGGGAAGAACCTTTCACAAGACGGAACCAAACAAAAGGGCCCCCCTTTGGTGGGAGGACAGGTGAGGGTTTGCACGAGAGAGCACACGTCATGGCACAGAGCGCTTATTGCTCACGGTGAGTGTGTTGTCACTTGTACATGCACAAAGACGACAAGGAAGACGACATGTGTGGTGGCCGGATGGAAGGGGAGGAGGGGCGGGGAGCTTCCTGAACATCCCCCCACCCCACCCCCGCTTCCCTCGCTTTCGCAGGCGTTGGAAGCTCTAGGGCCTGGCTGCCGCCACCCTGGAAAACGGCCGCTGAAGCCCTCCCACCCCTCCGGAAACTTGGGTGGCTGGAGTGGCCTCGAGGGGGGTGCGGGGAGCTGCCCGAATAGCAGCAGCAGCAGCAGCCGCCTGGACAAAGCACCATTTTTTTAGGCTTCTTGGAAGAAGGGAAGCTTTGCAGGGAGGAAGGCCTGGCTTTCACTGCAACTCTGTGGGGCTTGCCCACCCACAGTTTGACTTTGCATAGGAAACAAAAGGACCGCCGGCCGGTCCCCGTAACAGTCTTGCTCCACTTGACAATGTCCTTTGCACTCCTGCCCAGAAGTGGTGTGTGGTGGTGCGCAGGGGTGACCTTTTCCCAAGGCCTCGCACGCCTGGGAAAAGCCGCTCCGCACTGCCTGCTGGGAGCGGCAGGCGGGGGTGGCCCCCCCCCCCACCAGCCCAGCCCTGCCTGCCGCTCACCAGCTCAGATGCAGCAAGGAGTGGGCAGCATCGAGTCAGTCCAAAGTTTAGTTTTTATGGCTTTAGTGTAAGGCTGTCTTTCTGGTCCGGAATGGCAGGGGGAGGGCTGACCCCAGCCGGTTGTGGCTCCCTTGGCCAGGCGGAGAGAGCCCGGAACTGTCCCATGGGATGGAAGCCCCCAGACGGCCCTCTTATGCCTTGCTCGGCATGTGGCCAGTTGAGGGCGCCCTCCGCAGTCTGCCTGCACCACAAGCCATGGCACAGGGACTGGGCTGGGACGCAGGGGTGAGGCAGCGAGGAGGCTGGGCACCAGTCTGGTTCAAAACACAGGGAGGAAGGAGGACATGGCCAGCCCTGCAGGGGTGGGGGTGGGAGTCAAGCCACTGCTCGGTTCCACGAGGAGCTGAGCCACAGGCCAGGGGAGGGGGCTGCGTGCGGATAGGCATCCCCCCTCCACCACCCACAGGGCACGTTTTCATCCTTGCTCTGTGGCCGGGGAGCCAAAGAGGCGGGCTCCAGCAGACACGAAGAATCTGCATAGTGAAGCAGCTGCGGTGGCGGCAGGCCTCTCTGGACAGGCAGGGCCCGAGATCCCCCTCTTGCCCTTGTGGGTGAGCACCAGGCACCAGCCAGGGTCAGACGTGTGGCCCTGCTGTGCCTCCCCCTCCACTGGAGGGGCTTCTTCCTAGCGTAGTCGTCTGTGGAGAGGAGCCTCTTCTGCTGCTCTCTCTGCCGCCACAAGGGGGCCCTGCCTGTCCCTGCCAGGCGAGTTCTGTGGGCCGGAACGCAGCATGGGAGGGGGGGGGAACCCG